GATGTTTTACTACTCTGATTTTGTTATATTCGGAACCAGCGCAAAAAACTAGCCTAGAAAGACTCAAAAAGTCGAAAACCAAAGTGGCCCCCCCCAACTTGATAAGTACCAACGAACTTGCTAAACTTTCGTATTTTTCTATATATTTTTTCTTTCGCTTCAAAACAAGCGCCTGGCCTCGCAATTTCGCAGTGCTACACGCGAATGTTCCGCCGAGCTGACGAATGTCAACAATTTACACTATTTGCTCGTCAGTTCTCCACCGCATTCTCATTCACAGCAAAAGAGGGGTTTCGGGTCGACCAGTACAGCGCCCGGCAAATTTTCGGAACCGAGTGCGTGAGACCGGTTTCGCGCGAGAAGCCAAAGAGCACCCGGCACCGAGCGGCCGTCACACTCAAAAATGCGTCGAAATCGTGCCGTGTCGCGCTTACAAATGTGATTTGCACTTTTGTGAGCACTCACAGCGCTCGAAATACCTGCCGTAAAAAAACTTCTAAAAAATTGATTTAGAATTTTCGAAAGGGTCGACATTCTGGTCAGAAAATTTTTTTACGTCGAATTTTTCAGCCCCGATTCCGCGAAGATACCTGTAGATACGGCACTCCATCGGCTTGATCTCCTCCGCCACGGCCTGCCAGAGGTCGTTGCGCAGCTGCGCGTAGTGCTCGACTGCCGCTGCCAATTTGTGGTCGACCGGCGCGACGACGCCCTAAAACAACAAAATTAAAAAATGAAAATCGCAATTTAAGTGTATTTGCCAAAAGGTCAATGCATCAGCGCTCACCTCAGCATTGTCTATCCGCGAAAAGCAATTGCTGTTGAGGTCGTTGAAATCATAGTCCCCGTAGGCGGTGTTGAGGACCCCGATGAGGTCGAAGAGCGTCCTCTTCGAGATCGAGTCCACCAAGCAGCCCTAGGCACAAAAGTTAGAGACCTCGAACAAGCGGTACTGGACTGCTAGGGGGGTATAATTTTGGGCTAAATTGTCGTATCCGGTCACTAAACCGATTTCGGTCTTTTATATGTCAAAATGCTCAGCAGGTCGAGCTGATTCAGGATCAGTCGAAAAAACTTTTCGGAAACACTTCTGTCCCGAGATATGACACTTCAAAGTTTGACTTCAACCCGTTCCTTATATAACCTGTTCTCGCCCCTAGAAGTCCGTTTTCAGTGCGGAAAAAGATGGATAAGTGCTCGGTAAGAGCTTAGCTTTACTCACCACACCAAGTTTGAGCCTAAAAATAAGGCTTCGTGCCACCCCGGGGCCTAGTCGCTTCGGATGGGTGCGAGCTCGTACAGGGTTTCGAAATCGGGGCGCCCGAGGCGTGGGCGGCCAGGCGCCCCGATTTCGAAAGAGTGGAGCGGCAGCCCATCCGAAGCGACGGCCCACCTTGCCTGACAATGTTTTTACCCAGGAAACAGCAATTCCCTACCATTCCGTTCTTTCCGATTTACAGTTGGCGTATATAGGTGTATTGCGTACTACGTCTCGGCCTGTTTTGAGACCTTGTAAGCTACATATCTCACGATAGCGATTTTTCCGAAAAGTTTTTTTAACGGATCTTGGATCAGCTCAGCTTACTGCGCATTTTGACATAACAAACTCCGATTTTCGCTTAGTGACCGGATACTTCAGTAGCCAACTTTGAAGTGTCATATCTCGAGACAGAAGTGTTTCCGAAAAGTTTTTTCAATTGATCCTGAATCAGCTCGACCTGCTGAGCATTTTGACATATAAAAATCCAAAATCGGTTTAGTGACCGGATACGACAATTTTCCCTAATTTTGCCGGATAGAAAAGAGACTATCTTACCCATGCCTACATAACTATTTTTTTTGTGTTATATCGTGAATTTTGAGCCGTTTTTAGCATTTTGTAATCATTTGGAACTCCTAAAACCTTTTGGAAAATGTCAAAAGGGTTATATTTTTTTCATTTTCATGGATTTTTTAATCACTTCCCAAGCTTAAAAAAGGCGTAAAATGCTATAGAGGTACATCCTCCCCCGATAACAGTCCAGAACCAAAACCTCCGCTACCTCTTCCATATCATGATCAGACCCTCCAGATGCGCTGTGCTCGGAGAGGTGGCGCATACGATGCGAATGCCCTGCAATAACATCAAAAATAAATATTTGAAAAAGTACCTATCGGCATCGGCGCTTGCAAAATGTTCCAATCCTCGGGCGGGGAGAGCGGCTGGCGCTCGTCGATATTCGTGCGTTTCCACAAGCGCTTGTCGCTTTGGATCATTTTACAGGAGTAGGATTCGATCCTGAAAAGATTTGGAAAATCATTGGAAAAAAAGAGAGCGGCTTACTTGAAATCCAACTCGCAATCGTTCGAGTGCTCCCGTATCTTGTCCGCTATCAATTGAAGATTACTATTTTCCAAGTACTTCATTGTTCCTGAAAAAGGGGGAAATTAAAAGGGAAATCAGGGTAAAGAAACTGGCATGGAAAGGAAAGAACTTCTGAGAAAACAGTGGCCCAGCAACAGAAATTGAGATTTAAAAGTTGAAAATCAATTTCAATGTTTAGACTCAAGTCGAACACAACGCAAAGGCAAAGCGGGTGGATAGCAAATGGTCGTCAGGTGCCCGCGGGTATCAGCGGGGAGGTTGCACGTCACTTTTTCGCCGGGGTCACAACGCCAGGGGATGTATCGGGCACGAGGTTGGGCCCCAAGGCAATCTGTCGCCAAAGCGGTAGCCAGCATATGGTGCAAAACAAAAGAAAATGCATATAAAAACTAACAACAATCCGAATTTTTGGTAAAAAATTATTTTAGCGATCGGCTACGGATTACACCAATTGACGGTTTTCGGCTATTGGAAAGACGGAATATCCGGCGGGGATTTTAAAATGGCGTAAAGCTTTCTAAAACAATTTTAAAATTAAATTTTTAGAAGCGAATTTTCAGGAAGAGCTGTAGAAAAATAGTGTTGCGGCCCGGGGATGAAGCTAAGAACTTTGGAAGCTTCCCACGCTCGATTTGCCAAGGAAGTTGAGCCGATATCCCCGGATTTCTATAAAAAAGGTTTTCTTTAAGGTTTTATTTATGTTTTATTTTCAAGGTTGAAAGTTTTTAGGAAACAGAAAGTGGCTAATTACTTCACGGTGATCGACAAATGAAGCCCTGGGATTAAGCTAAGAACTTTGGAAGCTTTCCACGCTCGATTTGTCAAGGAATTGGCCCCGGACCCTTAAAAAGCTTAGTTTTTTCAGGTAAAAGATTTTGCGATAACGAAGATTGGCGCAATCGTTTCAATTAGGTCTAGACCAGCCGAATTCGAAGGTCAACGTCGTGCTCAACACCTTGAGGCACGGAGGTGTGCCGCTTATCGCGAACCGCAGCCCTGCCGGCTGCACAGTGCGGTGTTGACTTCACGACCGGGCGGGAGGAGGCGCTCAAAAAACTTGGCCGATCGATGGGCCGGCCTTCGTCGCCATATGTTTCTCTCGTTGGGTGGGCAATGGGGCGCCCGACGCGCACAGCAGCCCCGGACCACGGAGTCCGCTGGACTTTTCCAACGAGCCGACTTTCGCAAGGGAGGACGTGGGGAGTGGGAGAAGAAGACCAGGTTGAGCGGGGGAAACCCTCAGTCGTCGGCTGCACGAAGAAAGGATAGGCCTCCGTCGTTTCCGGGTTCAATCGGGCCTCTCAGTTATTTGGATTCGGCGCTACGACAGCATCTATCTAATTTTTTTAGTTTTTAACAGTCATTTTAGACGGATTTCCGTGTGTTTTGACCAAGATGCGTTTTAGAACCTGAATTTCTAGATG